GGTTATTGTCATGGTTATGTATGGACATGACTATTGTGAAGCAAACCATCACCTGCCCAACATCCTTCACAACATGCCTGTTGTGAAGGTTCAAAGAAGACAGATAAAACAAATGGATAAACATCTTTTCTATACAAACTGTAGATATATATTGTCTTTTTTTATTACTAAATAACCAGGTTTGGCTCCTAGTTATGGTCATGGCTAGTGTGAAGCTAACCATGACCTACCCGACATCCATATAGATGATATGGTGTGTATAGTTCAAGAAGGGTTACGGTCATGGTTATGATATGATGTGTACATTTCTAGAAGGGTTATTGTCATGGTTATGTATGGACATGGCTATTGTGAAGCAAACCATAACCTGCCCAACGTCCTTCATAGCATGCCTGTTGTGAAGGTTCAAAGAAGACAGAGAAAACAAATGGGCAAACAGCTTTTCTATACAAACTGTAGATATATAGGTCTTTTTTATTACTAAATAACCATGTTTGGCTTCTACTTATGATCATGGCTAGTGTGAAGCTAACCATGACCTGCCCAACATCCATATAGATGATATGGTGTGTACAGTTCAAGAATAGTTACGATCATGGTTATGATATGATGTGAACAGTTCTAGAAGGGTTATTGTCATGGTTATGTATGGATATAGCTATTGTGAAGCAAACCATGACCTGCCCAACATCCTTCACAGCATGCCTGTTGTGAAGGTATGACCAATTTTTCCTTCTTCAGTCAGGTGGTTACTTGTGTAATGCTATAATGTACTGAGAGGGGTTAAAATGTGTGTTAAGGCTTTATGTTAAGATATTCTTAAAAAGTACAAGCATATTCAGTTTACAAACCTCCAAAATGAAAAAAAAACAATCAGTTAAAAGAAACCAATGACCTTGATTACATTGTTCACCATCATAAACATCATCTGAGATTCTCTTGTGAATATCTTCATTAGACATTCTTTCTCCTACAATCAAAATATGTAAAAACATTCTTTTAATGAGTTTTGAATAATTGCATCCAATTAATGAATCTTCACAACAAAAAACAATTATCAAAATAAGCTAATGGCCTTAATTACCCTCTGCATTGTTGAAAACATTATTTGAGATAAGTTGCTGATCATCTTCATTAGACATCCTTTTTCTTGACACTGAAATGTCTTAAACCCTAAAAAGCAAAAAATTAAATATAAACAAATTACGTTTATGTAAAAGATTTCTTACTTGAATTAAGGTAGAGAAGTTCAGTGCAGAATGGAGCAACATCAATGGCAATTTCTATTGAAATCGACATTGTGGATGAAATTTTGTGATGTAGGTTCAATGGTAGTCGGAGTTGTCAATTGAAGATCTTCAATCAAAGTTCTGGACCAATTGAGGCTTTAAATCATTGTTTACTGGTCGAAGAAAGAGGAGATCGTTAGAGGGAGAATGCGAGTTCATCCCAAGAAGAACACAAAGTCGATCATGGAGAAAGGCAGTAAGAATCGCTTTTCATTGTTTTCGATCGTGAGGTAAAAAAATAAAAAAAATATATAGGTCAAAAATACCCCTACAGTTTAAAGTTTAATGCTAAATTTTAACCATTGTCATTATATTATAAAATTGATCAATGGATATAAGTTGGTCTTACGGGTCTCACGAAAAACCATTGGTCTCACGTGAACCCAACCCTATATATATATATAGGGGTCCATTCAAAGGAGAATGGTTAGTTTGTGATAACTATAAGATCCAATCTCAACCAAAAATCAATGGATAAATTAGGAAACTAATATTTTCGGTAATTTGACTTAAATTTTTAATTAAAGAACATTTTAAATATTTAATTTTTTTTTATCTCTTCTCTGTCTCTCTCTCTTGCTTCTGGCCTCCGGTAAACCTTAATTCGACGAACACCATGTGATATCCAAAATATATCAAGATACACAATGAAATACCCAAAACACATACAATGTGAATGTGATATCCAAAACACATCAAGTAAACTTCGAGACCACTATGATACCAATTGTGGTGCCATTGTCATACCAACTGTAGTACCACTATGATACCTACGTTGTATATAGGTATGTAGATGAGATGGTGGTCAGTAGCGGGAATGGGGGAAGGGAGATGGTCGTCGGAAACGGCGTCTTGGTCGGACAAGATGACCGGAGGAGGCCACCGGATTTTGGTTCTTGCGTGTCCGTGTGTGTGTGTGTATATATATAATGAAGTAACTAATCTAATTAAAGTAAATTGGAATATTAAACTAATTATAGTAAATTGAATAATCAACCCAAATTACTAATTTAGTAAATTGAATAATCAACCCAAATTACTAATTTACTTTTCTATTTTATTTTAAGAAAAATATTAATTATCTTAAATAATTGACTTACATTAAATCTCACAGTTACCACAAACTAATTACTTCTCATTTGATTAAGCCCCTATATACAAGAACTTAATGTTAAGGAAGATGCAATTGTTCGTGATGAACAAGAGAATGTTACTATTGGAACTTATACAATGTTTCGATCTCATATTCGAAGGAAATAGAATTTCTTGTCGGTCTATAAACTTATTCCTAGATGGCCAGATTGGTTACGAAAAGGTGAAAATGCAAGTAAATGAACCTTGCATTGGGCATTAGAGAGTGAGATTGACATATACATAAATGTCAAAGGATGGTTCTTCGGGTCTCTTGACCTAATGAAGAAATTTTGCAAAAGTCCAAAACAAAGTCTTAAGCGACCTTACTTTCGGCTTTGGTCGTCTACCTTCTCGTGTATCTCTCTGGTCTCGTAACATAGTGACTTATGCCACCATGCATGTTACTAAGGTCGCTTGACAGGTGCCCGTGATGATTTGGGTAGTTTATGTTGGTTAATTTTGGTTGAGAAGAAAAGGTATAAATGCATCTCTAGCTCCAAATCTTGCAATCCAATTTTTCCATACATTCTCCTTCCTTCTTACTCATTCCATGGACAAATTATCAATTCAAAAGGATCAAACAGACGTATACAATTCAATCAGATAGTTGTACCATCTAGGCGGCGTCCATAAACCAAGCACGTCTGAGGCGAATTTCGTCTTAGGATACTGCAATTTGTAGGCCTCTGTCTGTATAAATATCATTCAGTTCGGATTTGTCATCGAAAGATAAGCAGTTTATTATTTTATTTGGTTTTAGTTGTGTAAATTGTTACATATATATTAGTTTTATTCTCATCTACAGATTGGTCCTAACAATCTATAACGAATTTTTGTTTCTAAATAATAGAAACAAAGTGGATCAATCATCTATTTTGAGATCCCATGCTGAGAAACCCTATAAATTTAAGGGTTCATACTTTTGATAATGGGAATAGAAAATGATGTCCTATCTAACGACGATTCTCCAACGAGTAAATACTGAATAATATTTAGTGACCAATATTTTTTTGGTCACTAACACTTTGAAGTTAGTGAAAACTATTTATTGGTCAGTAAGCCTTCCAACTTAGGCATGAGAATAGGCCTCGACCTGTCGGGAACCCAGTCAACTCATCTTGGTCGGGAAGGGGGATTCCTCACTAAATTGGGTATGGGGACGAGGATCCTCATTTGTCTCAAAGCAGGGATGGGGCCAAGGACAAGTATCGTACTCCCCGTCCGATCATGTAATTGTTATATATATATATATATATATATATATATCTCGGTGCTGGTTCAAATGCTAACAAAGATTATCGTGTTAACTTTGTTAATCTATCTTGACCGTTAATTTGAATAATAAACAGTTGTGATTTAATGATGTTTAAAAATTAATTATTAAATTAATATTTTCAATTAACATATGTGAACAAAAAATCAAAGGGTATTTAGGTAAAAAATAATATATCTTTGATACATGAGTTGACAGACATATGAACAACTTGTGTATATCTTCAAACCACATCAAACAAAAAAGATTAGACATATGAACAACATTTGAACCGTATGAACATCTTATGTATATTCAGAAGCCAACTCTATTGTATGTACATGAACACCTATGAACAAAGGCATCTAGGGTTGTGTGTTTTCATTCGTGTTCACATGTTTTCATATGTTTTGTGTGTGTGAGTATGTGTATGTATTCATATGAACATCTAGTGACTTGAATATACATGAACACTTATGAATCATGACATCTAAGGCTGTGTGATTTCTGATGTGTTCATATGTCAAAGATGAGAATTATCGATTAAAATAAATATGAATTATAGAACATGAACACGTGTGTAACCCCAATGTCAATATTGCATCATGATCAATTGTGATATGTAACTCCCAATTAATTATTTGGGGGTTACATAAAATGACAAATTACTTAAATACCATTGTATTTAATATATGAGTTACATTTGAACCAAAGGAAAAGATGGAATATGATTGGTTGAGCTTGGTTAACATAGTTAACACAGTTAACACAAAAAATTTGGTTAGTATTTGAACCAAACTCTCTCTCTCTCTCTCTCTCTCTCTCTCTMTATATATATATATATATATATATTTGAAGGGTACAGACTTGTTTCAATCATAAAAATTACTTGCTTTAATATGTTAAACAACTCCAATCATTTTGCCACTTATTGAAATTTTATTTGAAAATATTATTTCTTAATTTCATAAATTGAAGTTACAAACACATAGAGAAAAATATGATACTAATATTGATACTGATATTGATACAGATAGTGATACTGATACTGACATTGACATTGGCATTGATATTGACATTGACATTGACATTGACATTGACATTGACATTGACATTGACATTGACATTGACACTGATACTGATACTGATACTGACACTGACACTGATACTGATACTGATATTGATACTGATACTGACACTGACACTGACACTGACATTGATAATGATACTAAGATTGATACTGACATTGACATTGATACTGATATTGATTGATGATTATTGTAAATTTACTTTTTCCTCCTTTCAGATACCTACCTCCCTCTTCAAATATATCACATTCTCATTAGGAATGTTTCACACTCCACAAAACAATTTTATTGCTTTCTCGTCCAAGTAATTTTCATCTTTAGAGACAAAGTCAAGAAACTTGTAATGATCGAACGGCTTGAATCTTAATGGGTGTTCTTGGTCAACAATTTCTTCTGGTGTTTGTATGATCCCTTTCTTGTATGAGAATAGAACTATCGAGTATCTGTCTTCTTGCCCATTCATGATCACTCGGTGACGAGGAGATTTCACTCTACCATTGCTCCATGCCTAATTACAGAAACGAAAAATAAACATAATGATAATTTGGTAATTTGGAGATAAGTGAATGTGTTACAATAAGTTTATAGAATACAAAGTGTTTAGGAGAATTAAATTTTAAAATAAAGATTTCTGTTAGGGTTTTTTATAGGACTCTTTTGATAAGTGACATATGACCAAGTTATTTTAAATGATGTCATATAAAAAAATTAATAAGACCATTTATTAAAAATGCTTAAAAACATGTTAAGACGTTCAAAAAAATCATGTATATAAACTTATTGTAACACTGACTGATTTTCATTTAGGAATCTTAAACATTTCATAAATCCAAGAACCATCATTTTTGTGAGTATTCATTATGAATAATGTGAGAAAGTATTCATCATAAATGTCGTGACAAATATTCATAATGAATAATATTCATACCGAATGCTCACAAAATAGATAGTTCCTAAAATATATAAAGTTCAAAAATGAACCTGTGCTAGATGTACAAGAGCCCTAAATCTTTTAAAACCGTTTATTAGGAAATCTAAAACAATATAAAACCAATTTTACTGAGTGAGATTAGTAGAGAATCTAGTAACGTTACCATCAATGGATCGGTTGCTAGTACAACAAAGGACAATGGAAGGAATTCAAAAGTTATCCACTTGCCATCCTCGATTTCAACTTCCAATCCATTCACCTCGTTAATTTGGCCAAGTACGGTGATAAAGCTCTTGTCTGTATGAACTGCTACACCCAAGTTAGTCTGGTCTGGTTTTGGTGCAGAGTATTTCATTACTTTAAAAAGATAGTTCATTGATTCGTTAAATGATTCATAGTATTTCTCTACTCCATAGCTTTGAAACACCATCTGCCTCACCGCATTTTCTAGTTCTGTGACTAGAGTTGCATAAGAATGCATAGTGTTACTGAAAAAAGAGATCCAATAAAATAGAATTAAAAATCGTTCATGTTTAATAATAATAAATGTTATGACAAAGTTAGACAACCTAACAAATTCAATATATGAAGTTGGGTAATCTATATATATATATATATATATATATATATATATATATATATATATATATATA